TGAATATAGCTTTCCCTTTAGTTTAACCGTTACAAGATATCATTTGAAATGCTATAACGGTAAAAGTCTCGTACGTAATTAATACATACGCTTTCTTAGAAAAAATCCCATAATACTTTAAGATCAATCCTCCAAATGAAACACTATCGATCAATCGTCAATCACAATAACTAATAACTATTTATCACAATCGTCAATAACTATTTATTCAGAAACACAAAAGTCTATATCTGAAGAATTATTGCTGGACAACGAACAGTTCTTTATTGGATCATCTACAATAAAACCAAGATTTACAATTTCTTCCTCGAAGCATTTGCTTGGTTGAGATGTAAACAATTTTACTGCCGCGCCACTAACAACTTTAAACCCCGGGTTTCTTCAATGATTCTAAGATTTTATTTACGTAAATCTTTACACAACGCTACAATATTGTTTTATTTCTTTGCGTGTAATAATGTTGTTTGAATAAGTTTCATTGCTCACAAAAATATTGGTTTTTATTGTATATTTAAATAGTATGCAGTCATCTCGAATAAGCCAATTTTAAAATCGGAGTCAAATCATTTTAAATTTAACAGCCAATCATTGCGTATTAATAAGTGGTTAATATCAACGAGCACATTTACACTGAAAGTTGGAACTAAAAATGTCAAGTATGTTAGTAGCAACCAATAAATAAAAACAGAAGAAATATTCATTTTTACTTTTCCAACCTTATTTAAAATCTAGTTTTAAAAATGTATATTAGGAACTCGTGTATGATAATAATAAAGTGCGGCAGGTCTAGAGATTAGGGGGAACTCTAATACTGAGAACCACGGGACCGAATCCCACCAATTCCCAATAGCATTTAGCTGTTGGATAATGTCATGGTCTGGCGAATCTTGCCCAATTTTTCAAATTGTAACAATTTTTGTTGTTCGTGATTTAGCAGCGTACTTATATACTTCCGATCTTAAGAATCAATAACTCAAATGAAAGCTGGTATTTAAATGAAGGTTTTTTTAAATCAAAACATAAAGGATAAATGAATCACAATTGAGTAAATATATCTAAAATTAATTTCTAAATAGTAAAATTAATTTTTTTTTGTCAAGTAATACAGTAGATAAATGAATGATGATGTTTGATTGCAAATCTGTGCATGTATACCTTTAATTTAAGACCAAAGTTATGAAAATTAGTCGGGTAGAAGAGCCAAACGAACTCGGAAAAGAATAACCAAATTTGACTACGATAAGAAATGTACATGAAGAAAGTTGCTTTAGTGCATAACTCAAAATATACGTTGGATAAATTAATGCTAATGCTTAATGGCAAATCTGTGCGTGCATGCCTTTAACTTTAAATCAATATTGTAAAAATCTGTCAAGTAGAGGAGCCGGCCGACTCGGAAAAGAAACCGATAAATTTAATATATAGATTAACAGGTATAAACTACATTGTTTACTTCCTTTGTGACTTATAAAAATAACTTTATAATGTGTGTATTTACGTAGTCATATGGGGCAAAAGGAGAGCCATATCATAAATATAAAAGTTATGACGGGCCATTTGTGACATTATGACTGTACTAAAGCGTTGCTCGGGGTCGTAAAGGGATAAACTTGAGAATTGAAACAGTTAATATAACTCACTCTGGACCTAGTGTCGTTATGACTGGGATTTCAAATGAGACAGTTTCCAAACGCGTTCAAGAGTTATACTGTGAAGAGAAGTTAATTGTGAAAAATAAATTCTAAATGTTAACGAAACTACCTCATCACCCTGTGTCTGTGCATAAAATATAACATTAAATTATGTGTAACGCACGCCTACGCGGTTGTGTCACAACGTTCCCCGCTGCAACCGTTTTATTTGCCACTTAATCGTCCTAAAGTGACATTTCCCGCTCGTTGCACAACATTCACTTGCGTGATGTAAAAACGTTCTTACTACACTTGTAACGTAAATAGCTATTAAATGTTCGTATCATTGTGTATTCCTTTTAGAACATGTACAGTACTTTAAAACTCCAAACTTCTAATGAAGTTATTAGGACCCACACCAACGTCTGAAGATGGCTTCTAAAAAGTTAAAACTAGTTGCAGCACAAGAAGAAACAGTTGCAATACACAGAAGCAGATGTTAAGGCCAATGTTCTTCCTCTTTTAAATTGAAAACCACAGTAACGTTACACATAAATGATGATATTTTAAGGTGATTTTCAAATATTTTTATTCCTTTTTATGTTGTTATTGATATGGTATCATACCCGGATATGATCTTTAACCTAGTTTATGTTATAGATATGTGTTCATGGCAATCCTTTGAAATGCTACTAAAATCTAACATTGGTTCATAAAGTTAATAATATGTATCAAATTAAAATATAATAAATTAGAGTTTATTTAAAAAAATCTCGCATGTAATCTGTAGACGAAATAAGTACTGAGTAATGTTAGAACTGTAACACTGATCAGAGAAGTAAAATGACACGTATTTTCAAAGTTTCCTTGTAAGTGATGTCATTTTTCACGTTATCCAGCCGTTTAAGGACTAACATCACTATCGCTATCATCAGTGCTCTCGGGAAGGTCAGGTGGTTTGTTGTGTGTTTGGTATATCTGGTCTTTCGTGTAAGACCTGTACAGCTTGACCGCGTATTTCACCATGAAGAACCCCGTCACCGATTGTAGCAGGTAGAGTACAACCTTCCCCACCGCCCTTAGCCACTTGGGACTCAAAGTGGTAAAGTCGAATCTGTCAGGATCAAGGAGAGGGTACCCGTCTTGGTCAAGCTCTACGCCTTCAGGTATCTCCACCACTTCCTCTGACGACTCTGTGCTCAACTCTATAAACTCCGGGTATCCCCATACCTTCCACATGCCTCCCTCCACCTGAGGAAGGTACTTGGGTAGTCTCCGGGCAGGCTGGATCTCCTTCTTCCTACGGACTATCACTCGCTTTGGTTTAACAATCGGAAACCCCTTTTTATACTCCTTCGGCTCGTCCTGTTGCAAGATCTTGTACCTGATTTTCTGTTCTGCCTCCAAAACTCCTTCCCTCTCTCTCTGCCTCTCCTCTGTGACATAGATGACGTCCCTAAGAGCTTTCTCAAGATGACTTTGGATCTCGAGACTCAACGATGGGAGGGTTCGATTAAAGTCGACCTCGATGTTTTCTGTATGTGTTTCCCTTACTTGTTCTACATCAAATGTGTCAGTCTGTAGAATATTTGGGTCGACGTGTTGGAATTGGTTCACGGTAGGCTCTTGGGTGATAAAATCTTCAGTCTTTTCTACAGATGACCCTGCTGTCTGGACATCCATCTACAAATAACGAACATTCAATATAATGTTTTAAAAATGTTGTTTAAGAAAAAGTATAATTTTATCAAGTTTTATTTGATCACTGTTTATTTCAAAATGTATAAGGTAACTCGATATGATTAATAAAACTAGTTTTATGTATATGTAGTTTAAGCTAAGACTGTGGTTACCCAATTATTGGTTCTACATATGCGACTACTGTATTGTATTGTCGTTTGACTCTCAAACACATGCTTATACTGTTGAGCTAGTTATCTAGTTATAATTAATTAATACGGTTTCATACCGAATAGTTCTTTGAAAAGTCACAGTTATAATAGGGTAAGATTTTACTAATAGTTTATAAAACATCCATAGCCTAGAGAAGTTACTTTGGTACTATTGAATTACGATAAGTATTTATCTCAAAATCTGCATACAAATATTCTTCTTTATTTGTAAAAGTGTGCGTTTCTAATTAATTAATGCGTATTGATTCACAAAATATTTGTTGTCAGCTACGTAAATACAACTAGAAATGTATCAAATCCAGAAAATCTTACTTACTAAAAAAATAAAAAGCCTCACCCTATAATCCACGAACACCTAAATATCGGTCAAAAATCTTGAAACACATTTATAAAAGACATTCTCACATAACCATCTCACGTCATCACATTTTGAGCTTTTATCCTTCAATAACAAAACAAAGAATCTTATTTTCACTAAAATTGCACAACACTCATTGTAAATGTTTCCAACGTATACTGGGATCTATGGTAAGCATAGAATGATCACAGTGTTTGGTTATAGACGAGAATGATCGTAAACATAACATATCAGCTGGTATACGATGGCAGAGATATTCCAGCTTGTATATGAGAGACGACATTACATCGGGCTTTATCTACTCTTGTCTTATTGCCAACATTTATACGTTATCATTCAAATATTATCGTTACATTTTTTCTTCTTAGTTGTTTGTTTTGGAATGTAATTATGGTGTCTAAACAAATAAATAGCCAGCTATTTTGTTTAAAACTAGTCTATAATCTTTTACTATAAGCTAAGTCAATCCGATGAATAAATAAAATACATTGGCAAGAAGCCTGGCCAATCAATTATTTGCCATTATTTAAGAATTTTCCCACCCTCCACTATGTCTATCAATACAACTTGAATTTTAAAATCACCAACGTAAAACTTAGAACAACTTACAAATAGAAGTATAGAACTTGTGGTATATGTAAATTTGATTCATCTCTCCCCTAGAAAATGCTATACGTTTTGTCTTAAGAGGAGTAGCTTAGGCCTACAGCGTAAAATTTAATTCAAATTAATGTGTGATCCATTGCAAAAAAATTCACATAATTTCTGTATCTTAACCAGTGATTCTATGATAGGGCTACATAATAAAGAAAGTCGTGAAATCTTTAAATATTTAGCCTATATATATTTTGTTTTGCTGTTTAGTTGAGCACACTAAAAATCTATGAGTTTGATTTATAATATGCATGACACATTTTATTGGTTTAAATAGGATAGTCTTTTAATATCCGCTCAGATCTCCGTTCACTCCATTTTAAAATAGATCGAGTACCACTTTCTTAGGAGAATATGTTAACGTTTTAAAACCACAAGCATAAACAATATAGCTTTTGATGTATTAACGTTAAACTCTGGCAATTTATACTTTAAAACAATTGTTAACAAACATACACACAGAGTATGTAACCAAACATTCAGTCACAGACACAACAAACTACTCCTCTACTCTTTGTGCCTCAGCTTCTAAAGCTTTCCTTCTTTTCTCTTCTTCTTTTCTCTTTTTCTTCTCTTCCCTCTCCTTTTGCTTCTTTTCACGGAATATCCTCTCTTTTTCCGCCATTGCCGCATCATCCCGTATCTTCTGTGCCATTCTCTTCCTCGTTACTTTGCTGCACTCTGGGTCGTCACACTCACTGAAAACAAAAAATTACAAAAAAAGGAACACAATTAAACAAAAAAATTGAATAAACATGTTGATTGAAATTTGTTTTTAAGTAAACTGCGTTAAGCTATACGCTTGTGAGGGAAAAACTAACTCCTATTCTTTCCTTACGACGTGTATTATTATTTTCAATAAAGTTTTAGCTTTATCATCAAGAATTATTTTAAACAAAATAAACGACACCTAATACCTATGTGAATTGATTAACGAAATTAGCCAATTTGGATGTCCATTAAAGAGTACTAGCAGCAAAACCTGGCTTTGCCCAGGTAAAATTATACGATGTACAATAAGTGGGTACCGGTACCTTAATATTTTTTCTGTTTTCATAAATATACACAATATATTGGTAGTATTAAATATAGAAATATGTTAAATACTCTTTGTAGCACACGTTTCCTTAAATTGCAACTAAAATATTAACAGCAATTAAATTATCCAGCTGATCATAGTGTAAACAAATATGTTCTTCATAAGGATACCATGGGAACTTTAAAAGCCACTGGGGCAGAGACCAAGGGACTTTTGGATAAATGTAAGGTCAGTGTGCAAATCTACACACCTAGACGAACATTTTGGTATATAATATGTGGGGCTAAATCTTTAACCAAAAAAGCCTTATTGTTCACAAGTTTCATGTAGCGTATTAATAATATGGATTTTTGACTGTGGAGAGTAGTTAAATAGTAGTTAAAGAGTAGTTAAATCTCATTAACATGTTTAAGTTAGAATCCATTTAAAATGTAATTAGTTTAGCCATCGACAGAGTCTGATTATTTCAATTAATAACTGATTTACGCAATTTACAAAATATTTCTTAACGGAGGCAAGTTAAAAGGACAACTCACTTTAGAATATGATTTATTTTACAAAAGTGTAATAAAATCATAAAGTAGGAAACAGAATTTTATAGTAGCACAGTCTGTGAGTGGCTTAATTCTACTGTGTATAGAGATAAGCTACTGTATATGGTCTACGTCAGTATCCAAACATCATTGATTATACTATGTCGAATGATAATTAAATCAACGGACTTGTATGATTAATATAGAACTCTACCTAGGGGCAACTAAGCAATACTTACTGGTTCTCGTAGTAAGGTTCAAACATGGCTTTGACTTCTAGATGTCTCAGATGTCCTACGAGAAGAATCAGAGCCCCGAGTCCAATGTAGAAGAATGAAGCCCAAAGCACGAAATACCTCAAGTGGTAGAACGGGCTTATGGGTGTTGTGATTTCCATACTCATTTTTACGCACAAGTTTGAAATCTTACGCTCAAATGTGTTTATTGTTTGAGTACATAAACGTTGTGAATGTTAGTACTGTTTGATTACAATATATTTTAGAGAATCATTACGGGTTTCGTTGATTTTCTCCCAAACGTTCTGAACATTAGAGATAACATTATCTCTTAGTTAACACTAGGGATATTAATTATAATGACAAATTAGAGCAAATATAAACAAAATAAGGTAGGATGGTTTTGTAAATAGAATGGTGATTCATCTAAACTTATGTTTTAAGTTTGAAACTTTCAGCTGTGTACTAAATCGATTGCATGATACGCATTATACTCGGTCACCGTTGACGTTCCTTTAAGGTTCGATTGGTATGAAACTAACCTATAAATTAGCTACTTCTCTAACTGACCCATCAATAATGTCCAGCTAAATGTTTACTATGGATTTTTTACACATGGTTACACCCCTTAACTGTACCCCCCCCCCACCAAAAAATACATACCACAATACTCCTTCCTGATGAAACCTTTTGCATAGAATTGTGGAAATAGTGTAACCAAGTATGCCATAACGATGTAATGAAGGTGAAACTAAATGCCTCTAAAGTAATGCACATTCACAATATCCGAGGTATGAAATATGACTTTATGAAGAAGATTAATATAACCCAGATGTGGAATGTTACCGAGGGAATTCTTAGAGGAATTCTTGTTGTTTATATTGAAGGTGTTGGCTGAGCCCGGGGAAGAATTCAATAAATTCCTCACGTCTCCCAAATAATAACTTGGGGGATTTTCTGCAGAAATATTTGTGAGGACGTAGGTTTGGTATTCACATATACTTAGCGCCAGGATTAATCAATCAGCAAGTTTTTCAATATCTGAATTAATTTTACACATACATGGTGTCTCAAAACACACTAATTTCGCTACAGCTCTTTAACCAATAAAGATACCAAAAAACATTAAATACAAAAATTGTAGCTACTTTTAAGGGGTTTGTAATTAAACCCATGTTGCCATTTGAAATTTTTGAGATAATAGCTTTTAAAACTTCAAAAGGTTTGAAAATGAATTGAATGAATGAATTGAATTGAAAAATTCTTTATTGTTCATTTCAAATACAACAGGTAAAATACAATACATATTTATACACTTAAGTTGTACATAAGTATTGTATTAGTATTACATTAGTATTACACATAAATGCGTAACATAAGTAAAAAGATAGGAAAAGGGTTGAAATCAGAGTTTTTTTGAAAGCTCATTTAGCAATTAAAGTGTTATCAAAATTTGAACCCCCCACGAAACTCCACTTCTTTGCAGTGAAAATTAGGCTAGTTGAAAGGTCTATTTTTTGTACGTTTTTGAACACCCTGTAAATAGGGATGAAAATAATTTAAAACGTTTTCCACTAAAATACTCAGGACTCAAGGACCTTTAAAATGAGGTATAACACGACCCCCCTTTACATTTGAAAATTTCCCAAAAACCACCCCCACCCCCCAAAATCTGCCCTTTGGGGTGCTTTTTTGGGTTTGAAAATAATTTAGCTGAATTCCTTGGGGTCAAAAAAGGGGGTTCCAGTTTCAATTAGGTTTCCATTTGCTTTCATATTGGAGCTATAGAGGCCGGCCGGGTGGCCTGAGACACCCTGTATAACTACTTGCCAAAGGAATGACTTTTTTAAATGATAACTTGTAATGTATTGTGGAATATTTTCCTATAAGTAATATTACTTCAAGAATGCAATTCAAAGTATTTATGTTAATATATATTTAAGTTTTAAAATGCATTCAATAACTATAAATTAATAAGTTTTATCCATCAAATCCCTTTAATTATGGCCTACAAGAGTTTTTCACAACTATTATTTAAACTTGAAAATGATGTATTACAGACTATCTAAACCTCAATACAATTGAATATAATGTAACTTGTGATATTGGGTTAGTATTGTTTATACACAAGAGTAGAGTGTAAATGGAAAACTTTAAAACTGTAATTACAATTAAATGTATTCTAGATCCTTACCTCTAAAACCCATATTCATCTACTATTTACTAAATACCTTAGGATTTATGTTATTAGATATTTAAGTATTATTATATTATTTTTATTTTTGAACAAACTCACTCTCCTCAAACTAGTATGGAAACTTCCTTTGATATCATTAAACGTTTAAAAGGTTTGTAAATTTTAAACCATTACAAAAAGCATACCAGCAAACGTGAAAACTGTAATATACTCTACATGTTATAAATTCGTATTTTCAAATCCCTCATTATTATTCTTTGCATCCATTTCGTTACCATAAATTCAGCTCGTTAGTCTAAATATTCGACGACACAATAACAAATGCAATTAAAATCGCACATACATAATTAATAGTTTCCGTAATTCTCGGCTAACGATAATACAATTATATTAGTTACGGATGAATGAATAAATAAATAAATCAGCACTCGTGTATTTTATGTAAATCTAACAAATATATACTTACAATAATTGTCCAAGCATTTAGAATATTACATAGATTGAAGCCGAGCAGTTTCCTTGTTTGCACAACTGTCATAACACTATAGCGAAATGCTTTAAACGTCTTTGAGTGACAAAGCGATCCAGAGTCAAAGACGTGTAAAGTGGCAACAATATAAACGACTGTCTCAAGGGGGAACTGTTCCGTCTCTTCAACAGTTTTATTGCTCTTGTAATCTCACATATATTACTGCTCTGTCTGCAATGGAGACATATTTTGTTGCAGGCATTCGTACAAACATATTTTTATACTTTTTTGAAATATTACCTAATATTTTTGCAAAATATTTATTTCCAAGTTGGGTTGAATTAACGCTCTAGGATGTGTAAAGTTGGAAGGTACTTACAATTGAAGTTAATGATTATATATTCACCAATCTTATTATAAAGTCGTTGGGGAGCGGCCTGGTCTAGTGGTTAGAGCGTCGGACTTCGGCCCAAAAGGTCCCGGGTTCAAATCCCGCCAAATATCCAATGGATTTTATCTAAGTGATAATGCCGCAACCCCTAGGTCTAGCCTGAAGTAATGTGAAAAACAATACCTGACTCATGCCTCGCGTCCTAGGACAATAAAAATATATGATCGTTAAGAATAGTTAATTAACGGCTAATATTGGATGTCAATTGGCTGCAGTCCTCTTTAACTAGTTAAATATAGTGGTAAACGATGGTGTACAGTAATTATTCTGTCTACTATTTTTTTTTTTTACCGGAGTAATCAAAAATGGCAAAAGAACGATTAAATTAGTTGCTAATTCCTCGTCATCAATAATTGACCATTTTCTGTTTTTGTAACACCGAAAACGTTAAACAATCTAATGTTGTCATAAAGGTGATACAATAAGGTAACACAAACCTTTGTCATCTTAAATCTAGCTCTGGGAATCGGCAAATAACCTTTGTCATATTGAAACGATAGTCGGTTCAAATTACAACTGAGATCAGTGTTGATAGAGGATGACAATTAAAGCCGTTGTAATCTCGTGTAGACAATCTGGCGTTAGTGTTTGCGGACCAATCATCGAACATTGTGCTGAGTTATTCCTTGTCCTACTTTTAGTCATGCTAATCCATAAGACAACAATAGACTAATGAATCTCATATGACAGTTTTAAGAGTCAGCCACAAAATTCGATGTGTGTATACTACCCAGGGGATAAGTGCAACTTTTCTAACTTCTAACATTCTTTTTCCAGGGACGTAAACATCCCCTACAAGAGACTTGGTATGCATAACAGGTCTGAGGCAGTAGTTCAACCTTGGATGAAGCCCGTAAAGGGAGATTTTAATATTTAAACACCTTCATGCGTTGTATTTACAATCATTTATATTATTTATCACATTTACTCTGGCAGCTTATGAATATTAGTGGACTATAAGAACCATACTGTTATACATGCATAGAATGGTTGTTTCAGCCGGTCAATTGAGCCTAATATATCTTTTTGGAAGTCCGAGTTAAGCATGGTTTACATGTAAAATGAGAAAGAAATCTCTTCACGATGCTAAATCCAAGGATAATGGGAGATGGGTCATTGATTTTGAACCTCGACTAATACATGCAGACCGGTCAATCGTTGAGGAATTGCGAGAAAATTGTAATCACTGACCAAATGATTGAACCAAATCAATGTGCAAATCAATGTTTAACAGGAGCCCATGTATAATTGAAATTCAGTTCAAAGAAAGGGCTATAGTCGGTTCCTACATCATCTCACAACACATTTAATTGTATTTGGGTGAAAAGTAATTTATGAAGTTTACAAAATTAACAAAGAAATGAAAAATTAACAAATTAAAAATGTTTGTTGGGTACTGTTTTTGCACGATACCTCAAACATATTGTTCTATTACATTAAGGAGGGACTTGTGAATTCCACTTGCGTTTACAATGAAAACGCCTCTGCGAAAAACCATAGTCTTTGGCAACACCAATTGGTTTATTTTTAATTCGCCGACAGTCGACAGCAAACGTTTGAAACGATTCGGAACCTGGTTTTATTGGTGACGATTAAACCACATTACAAAGGCCGTTCCAGTCGCCACAAACAGTGTCGAGAGCATTATAGGAGGCGATAACGACTCGGATAACAATAAAACGCAGTTACAATGAACGAAACTCTTTCTCTGGAGGCTTGGGACATTCTGGCATCGCGTACAATGGCCTGTGACAAGTTAAGGTTTTACCACTTGTTTCAACTTCGTTCAAATTCACAACTAAACTGAAAAAATAAAATACAACACAAAGTAAAATCATACCGTAAAATCGCCAAAGAAAAACGTGCCATACAACTAAGTTTAAAATAAAAGGATGGTCAGCATTATATAATTTGTTTAGTAACAGTCAGTTAACTTTCTCGAGATGCCTACATATCAAAATGATCTCGGGTTTTATTTACTATCTTAGTATACCTACGAGAGCTCGCCCCGTGGTCGAAAACGCGACCAAAAGTATGTATTGTGCGAACTTCTCTATTTTCACCTTACTCTGTAAATAAAACATGTGATTAGAATTTCTTCCATTTGTTTAGATTTT